TAGTGAATAATTGTTTCATTTATTGGCGTGAGTCTCCCAGAGCGGTAAGTGGTGGCGCCCTGAGATCCTCCTCACAGAGTCTCCTGTTCACCGGTTGTCTACCGGTGGTGACGTGTCTAGAAGTGGTGCGACTCGGCCCCGTGTCTCGCGACCCATAGACCACCTTTTGGGGAGTGACGCGACTGGGCCTCATGTAACATCGGCATACCGGGGACACCCTTAGACACAGACACGTTAAAGCTAGACCGCGCGAGAGAGAGATGGGCAGACTTTTCATGATGCGCATGCAGTGCGACGTCACGCCGCGCGCTTATTCACAAACACTACACAAGCGCAACGTGTGAATGTGTTGAACGCGAGCTACATGGTAGGCGGAGAGGTGTTAGGTTGTTTTCGTTACGGAATTTCTTGATTCTTCTATCGGATAAAATCTATCTTAAAAAATACAAATGAACTACAGAGAAAACCTTCATTAAATTAGTTTAAATTTGTGGACACCGCAGTGCTGAGGCGCTGCCTGGCGGGTGAGAACAAGGTTGCATCCAATCAGCGCGCCGCGTTCAAACGTAGCCGTGATCGTCGACCGGTGTAAACAATCAAATTCTGTTATTTAGGCGCGCGCGGTGCGAGTGACCACGCTTATTAGCACATAATTAAAGATAAATTAGGCTAATATTAGGCACCTATCTTTTTTTTGCTTTTTAGAACGAGAATCAAGTACTGAGCACTCTGTGTCAATGTGTAAAGTGTTCAACCAGTCAGCCTATGTAGTTCAAATCTTCGATTGCCACTTGCCTTGAACAAATTAAACTATTGCAAGACGTCATGTTCTAAAAGCCATGGATGGTTATTTATAGTGATAATTCAAAGGGGAAGTTATTGTTGTTTCACCACACAAAATGTGCAATTTTATTTAAAAAACATACTGTCATTCCTACATTATGGAAATCATCCGTAAAAATGAATTACTGTAGGAAGTCATGGATAAATTAATCTTAAAATAATAAGAAATATGATCAGTTCTTTTTCCTACCTATGCTGATAGCCTTTAGAGGCTATTTCAGCTTAACGATCAGTGTAAATGTAACGAAGCATACAGGATATGCAATAAATATTAAAAAGTCTTACGTTTTGAGAAATATCCTTACACTTGAGAGAGTCTTGAAAGTCGAGTCACTTATTTATATTTTTTAAGGAAATAAAAATTATAATGAGGTCTGTGCATCTCTTCTCGTACTTATATTTACAGACGTTTTAACTAGCAAATATGTATGTATATGTATAAACAACTCCACAAGGTTTGAATATTAAGCCACTCAACACAAAAGAAAGGTTCCTTTGAACACCCCAAGCGTTCGAGAAGCTTAAAAACAGATTTATGACTGCATTTCCACTTCAAAGCTTTTTAAAGTAAATGTTGAATTTACAAAACCATAATTTTTTTATTTTTTTATTTATTGCTTAGCTTTGTGGACGATCTCACAGCCCACCTGGTGTTAAGTGGTTACTGGAGCCCATAGACATCTACAACGTAAATGCGCAACACGCCTTGAGATATAGTTCTAAGGTCTCAGTATAGTCACAACAGCTGCCCCACCCTTCAAACCGAAACGCATTACTGCTTCACGCCAGAAATAGGCGGGGCGGTGGTACCTACCCGTGCGGACTCATAAGAGGTCCTACCACCAGTAATTACGCAAATTATAATTTTGCGGGTTTGATTTTTATTACACGATGTTATTCCTTCACCGTGGAAGTCAATCGTGAACATTTGTTGGTACCGGCCTGCGGGATTCGAACATCGGTGCATCGCTCGATACGAATGCACCGGACGTCTTATCCTTTAGGCCTCGACGACTTAAAAGCTAAAAAAAATCAAGCTAATCTTACAAACCACGATTCAATTTTGTACGGAGAATCCAACAGCTACGTACCTACGTTTTAGTTTTAATAAAGTTTAGCAGCAGCGCACATTCATAGTACCGCGGGAATCTTAATTGTTAAACCACGACAAGTTCGAGAAATTTCAGTCGTCATGTCCCAGAACGTTATCATCATCAGTCCACTGTTGGACATATGCCTCCCTCGTTGTTCACCATAAAGTCCGGTCCTGCACAGCCTACATCCAGCGGATTCCCGCCACCTTCAGTGGGTCGTCGGTTCAACAGAAACTTATCCTATAATAATATACTATAATATAATAGTAAATCTACTGATGGTAGGCCCTCTTGTGAGTCCGCGCGGGTGGGTACCACCACCCTGCCTATTCCTGCCGTGAAGCAGTAATGCGTTTCGGTTTGAAGGGTGGGGCAGCCGTTGTAACTATACTTGAGACCTTAGAACTTATATCTCAAGGTGGGTGGCGCATTTACGTTGTGGATGTCTATGGGCTCCAGTAACCACTAACACCAGATGGGCTGTGAGCTCGTCCACCCATCTAAGCAATAAAGAAAAAAAAGTAATATATATAATAATACTAGCTGACCCGGCAAACGTTGTATTGCCTTAAATAAGATTTCTAGGGAAATTCTACTGTAGAAAAAAAAACCTCATTTAACCACATAATACCTCATTATAAACAAAAAAAAAAAAAAAAATATCCAAAAAATTAAAATAAAAAATGTTTGGGGTGGACAACCCTTTTCACTTAGGGGTATGAAAAATAAAAATAGATAGTAGCCGATTCTCAGACCTACTGAACATACTATTGATACACAAATAAAACCAAAAAAACATGGCTGAAAAATGTATAGTATTGTATAGCTCTCAAATATATTAAGTGTATAATCTATGATGTATAGTGAGTAAGTAAGACAGGAGACCGGCTTCGTCCTCATCCCTACTACGTGATGTTTGCTGGATGNACCAAAAAAACATGGCTGAAAAATGTATAGTATTGTATAGCTCTCAAATATATTAAGTGTATAATCTATGATGTATAGTGAGTAAGTAAGACAGGAGACCGGCTTCGTCCTCATCCCTACTACGTGATGTTTGCTGGATGAGTGGTGACACCTGGCGGGGATAGCTGATCGATTGATAGTTGATCAGTAGTCGACCGGCGGGGGGGGGGGGGGGAGATCAAATTCAATTTAAAAAAAATCATAATTAAAGGAACTTGAAATTATAAACTCTGAATAAGAATTTATCGTACTACAATTATAATATTTGATTGCCATCTTGCAACCTTATTGCAGATTTGTGCATATAATAAAAAAAATATTAATCGGGATGGAAAAATAGGGGTTGATCGTATAAGAGTGAAAATTGAGAGTAATATGATTTTTTTTATTTTAAGTCATGACAAAACAAAATAAAAAATTTACCAAAAAAATTTAAGTTTGTAATTAACAAATAAAAAATAGGGGCTGATCATAGAGGGATGAAAAATTGAGAGTAACATCAGATTTTTTTTTTAATTCATGTCAAAATAAAAATAAAAATGAAAATCTTGCCAAAAAAATTAAAGTTTATATTAACAAATAACATTATATTAACAAATAAAAAATAGGGGTTGATCGTAGAGGGGTGAAAATTTCAGAGTAATATGAATTTTTTTATTCTACGTCATGACAAAATGAAAACAAAATTCTCGCAAAAAAATTTAAAGTTTTTAATTAGCAAATATAAAATAAGGGCTGATCGTAGAGGGATGAAAATTTAGGGTTGTATGTATTTTTGTATGCTGTATCATAAAAAAATAAAAACAAAAAAAATTGTCTAAAAAATAAAAAAATAAAATTTAGGGGTGGACTACCCCTAACATTTAGGGGGATGAAAAATAGATGTTGGCCGATTCTCATAGATACCGGATAAGCACAAAAAGTTTCATCAAAATCGGTCAAGCCGTTTCGGAGGAGTATGGCAACGAAAACTGTGACACGAGAATTTTATATATTAGATAAGTGTTGAATACTCTGTACAAAATTGAATCGTAGTTTGTAAGATTAGCTTGATTTAAGTTTTGGGTTGTTGGTACTTATTAACTCCAGTTTTGGTCACTACAACATTTTGCTGATTACGTCATTGATCGATGGTAACCGATGGTAAAGGTCAAGAGCTCCTTAGGCCTGTCTTTATACGAGATCAAGAATAATTGTAAATAGACATGCGTTAGCAAAAATCGACTTCAAATAGAATAAAAAAAGATATTCCAAAACAAATTAATATGCACTAAAAACAATAATCATCGAAATCAGTTGGCTTGATATTGAGTTATTGAGTTATTCATCTATTTGTCGCGCACGTACTTAATGCAAATTTAAGTCATATGGTTTTCGCATGGATTCCATTATCAGAACTGAACTAAAATGAGACTACACGGGAAGCGCCAACTTTCTAATAAAAAAAGAATCATCAAAATCGATTCACCCAGTCAAAAGTTAGAGGTAACAAACATAAAAAAAAACATACAGTCGAATTGATAACCTCCACCTTTTTGAAGCCGGTTAACAATAAATTTGGTCGGCTTAATTCGCTACGCTAATAGTCTATGTGCGTGTGTGTCATTCTAGTTAAGTCTTGTAACTATTGTAAACCAATTCGTTATACAGCAACTGTTATAAACGGAGATTAAATGGAAAAACTGAAGTCGTAGTAAATTTTATTAACGTCACGCTTAATACATAGTCATTTTCCCATTCTAAGCATTAGATATACCTATAAATGATTGTCAAAATCAATCTATGTATGTACATATATCACATATCACTGGAAATCTCGTAACTTCTGATTAATTTACATGAACATTCACGATCAAAACCCGTTTAAGGGCTTCATCATATTTGCCGCAAAGTATTTCCAACAGTTTACAGATTGCCTCCAAAATTATTAAGTTGCTTGCTCATCATTCGTTGACTTTTCGTTAGCCCGCTAACAAAAACATTAAATAATTTGATTAAATTGAATTACATTTCCTATTATTAACTTTACATTGTACAAAGTAGTCATTAAACTTTCAAATGTTTTATGGAACGTAAATAAGGAAGGAAAAAAAATGATCATGGTAACACTGAGGATAGCCACGGCAATTTGCCAGTATTTTTGAAATTACGCCAATCGTATAGAAATTTACCTAGAATAAACATTATTAATGCGAATAAAACTATGTTTACAATGTTAATCGGACTAATTGCCAGCTCTGTTTCATTGCTGCAAACATTACCGAGTGGCATTGTGCTGATCTGAAACAGAAAACATTAAATTACTATTGTAATGTGCAAAGGCTTTTTAATTTTTAATACGCTTTTGTTAGCTTCAAAGGTATGTCATGTATGTTATTATATTAGTATGTAATGGAATCTTTGAACATGATTTTGACCCCTTCCCCGTCGGATTAACTCGAAATTTGGTATACTTATCAAGAACCGATGACAATTCAACATTAAAAAAAAAATTTAAATTAAACTAAAAAGTTAAAAATAAATAATAGTTTAAAAAAACTAACAAAATACGCTTTTATAGAAAATCCAACTAAAAAATTGAAAATGAATTTTAATAAATTTGAATTAAAAATAGTGTAAGAAAAAATTATTTTATTATAAAAAAAGCGTTTAATTATACTTCAATAAAATCTAGCTATTTGGTGTATTTACTTAGCGGAATACTTATTGTGCTAATAATAACTTATTGTGTCGATATGCAAAACAAAATATAAAACCAATCAAGCATGTTAAAATATCTAATTTTATTGTAGACAAATTTAATTTCAAAAGTAATTAAAAGTAAATGACATAGACGAGTAAATAAGACGTTCTCAAACGAATACCTCTTTGAACATCTCTATGTCACAGGATCTTATAAAACATAACAATAATTAACTATAAGAAAAATAAACTTCCACTGTCGAATAAAAATCCCACGGATTCCTTTCACTGTAATATATAATAAATAAAATAGGGTGCACGATGTATAATCGTTCTTACAAAATCATTCCTCAAGAATAAAGGGCTAACACTTTATGGCTCAGTGGGGAGTGGCAGCCCTTACAACAACCCCTCAAAGGTAAGTTGAGGACAAAAAAAATCATCACCCGTAGTCCACTCACATGGGTACTAGTATATTACCTATATTACTTATACCAGTCATAGATGTTCCAAGACCTATCTCACCGCACAACATAACTCGTCTGATAGATCCTTTGCCAATGTAGAGACATTAGACCTTCGATTATCTTTAGCTTAAAGTGACGAAAGAAGACTGACGAAATAAGTTCATACAATAATTTCCTGTTAGCAAATCCCACCCCGCCTGTCTGAGCCTTTGCTCGCCCACCTATCCTGGTGAAACTGGAAAGGCCTCCGGGCCACCGGTAATCCATCCCTCTTTCATAAAAAAAAACAATAATTTTGACTTTTACATGTCATGAAAATAACACGCGGAAGGTTAATGTAACAAAAAGAAATTAGATTCTGTTTTTTTTTTTCATCTTGTTTTCATACAAGTAGATTAAAATATTATTGGGATTCTGTATAAGTGTGCAACCCACGCAGTCACCTACGCGAACAAAAAGGTCTTAATTTACATTAACACAAACATGTTATACACAATATTATTGTTATGTACGCTATATACAATTCTAGAGCAAAAACCCCTTTCCAAACTATGAAATTTAAAAAACAAAGACTTTATTCGGGAAGATACATTTTGGGCCCTACAGACTTTTTATTTACAAGTTGATAAAAAAAACTTATTTTAATAGTAATGAATAGATAGATTTGATAAATACATAATTTTTCTGGTGGTAGGATCTCTCGTGAGTCCGCCCGGGTAGGTACCACAACCCCGCCTATTTCTGTCGTGAAGCAGTAATGCGTTTCGGTTTGAAGGTTGGGGCAGCCGTTGTAACTATACTGAGACCTTAGAACTTATATCTCAAGGTGGGTGGCGCATTTACGTTGTGGATGTCTATGGGCTCCAGTAACCACTTGATACCAGGTAAGCTGTGGGCTTGTCCATCCATCTAAGCAATAAAAATAAAATAAAATATATTTACAATAATTTATAGTATGCTTTTAAAAAGCGTCTCTTGTTGTGAACAGACACGCTAACCAAAGGCGATTGTGTTGATCAACAAATTGTTGTGCTTGCATACTTACTTGTACGAGCGATGTTTTCTTATCGCTTGACTTAGAACATCGTATATCGGTTAGATCCCTGATGACCCTCTTGTACTTCAATAAGAGTCCCTGAAAACGGGGTATGAAATGACAGTCACAACGCCACGGGTTCTGACCTAAGAACACGTGCATTATATTGTTGTTCGCTTGAAACGCTTTGTCGAATGCATACACCGGTATCTGAAAAATACGATATTCTTTATCTTTTTTGTAGCAAGATTACTGTTTCATTGAAACATTAAAATACGTTTGGCTTTCTGTTATGTTTATTAACTTGTTTTTTAAATGTGGAAATAACAGAATAGATCAAATTTAGATTAGATCATTTCATGACGTGATGAGCACGTTAATAGCACTTATACACCTACAGCATGAAAGTATATTAGCAATCAGGCACACCTCTATTTGCCTTACCGCATTTGGTAGGTACATTTCACCAAGGTTAATGAAAATGGCTATTGCTTTACGAAACGTGCTCCGAAACAAACGGAAATCAATCATTTTAGTGGCAGTTCCAGTTGCGGCGTATCTGTGACGTTACATAAATATACAGGGTGATATAAAAGCGTTCCCGAAGTCAAAAAAAAGGTATCTACTTTAACGTTCTAAGGCTTACTATATAATCTAAAATAAAATTTAATATTTGTCGCTTTTGTACTCTTTTTTCAGGAAATCTTTACTAGAAATTAAGGCAAACGCAAAAAAAACATAAGCAGCGCACGTCCTCATATTTTTAACTATGTTCCATTAGGCACAATGCAAACACATTAGTAAAAATGTACTACATATTAGAACGCGATCTTACAGTTTTATCTCTCTGTTCAAATAAAATGATAGAGGTCTGCCGTTGTGCGCTCATTGTGCAGAAACTACTAGATAAAGTTTGATAAATTATTCTTAATTTTACACTTTAGATGATTGGTTCATATCTAAAAAAAAATACCACGAAATCTTCATATAATACAAAAATATTAAAACACAAAGTTTATAAACGCGTTTACAGTAGTACCTAATAGATGGCGTTATTAGTTTTCTAAATCGAGTTATGGTGAGCTTACTTAAATATGAAAATGAATTTTCATGCGTCCACTAAGCTCACTCAAACAAGGTTGTAGCCACCGTGATCCATTAGCAAACTGTTATCAAGTAAGTATATATCATCAATGAAGAAGTCAATTAGGCATATAAAATATTATTGGAATCTCTATATTATTATATAAAAATGAATTGCTGTTCGTTAGTCTCGCTAAAACTCGAGAACGGCTGGTCCGATTTACCTAATTTTGGTCTTGAATTCTTTGTGTAAGTCCAGAGAAGGTTTAAAAGGTAGATAAATGTGAAAATGCTCGAAATTAAATAAAAATAACCGTCCCGCGTCGGACGGATTCCTTTTATTTGTTTTAAGCTTATTTTAAACAAAAGCTTAGGTCTTTTATATATCGATTGAGGCACTACGAAGTCTGCCGGGTCAGCTAGTATTTTATAATTACCGATAGTTCTTTAAAGGTATATTTAGTGTTTTCGTGCTATGAACAGACATTACTGGCATTTACGGGAACAATACACCCTTTAAGTGTGTAAGTCTATGTCTACGCACAATTTGATTTGAGCTGTATGCTCTCTTAAAGGCAGGGCTTTATACACATTCGCTCTTAAGCAAATCGATATACATATTGAAAAAATCACAATTGATCGAAATCCTGTCTATATCAAATTTAAGGAGACCAGAACTTTTTAATAGTGCATTCGACTCGGGACAATCCAAGAACCTTTAATCATCATTGGGTCCGTGTAAAAAAATACCTGCTTAAGATAATTTCCTCGAAGACTCAACACCCGAAACGTGCTGAACCACTCAGACCCTTCCAATTCTTTCACTGCTGCTATGCTATTATTGTCTAAATATAGATCGGCCAATCTCTTGTAATGTGAATTCTGAACAATAGATCTGATTGTATCAATCTGAAACAAAGGTTTTATTACGAAATTAGTTTTTCAGTACCTACGAATATTTTCGTTCGATTTCTACATTTTTAGCACGGTTCCACAAAATGCGAAGAGCTTTGGTGTCTTCAACAATTTATTCTTTACAAGTAAGTAATTTTAATTTTTTTTCACTTTTTTTTTCTTCGGTACCTATAACTGAGCTGACTCTGTCATTCAACGACTTATCCGCTTGAATTTCGCGTGACACAGGATTCTTTTCAATGATTTCTTAGGAAGACGAGCATAAAACAAACTTAATAGTCACTGTCACTCATTGATATTAGTAATTCACAACGATAAGCTACTTTCATCATTTGGTAGAAAGCGGCTTGGTTCTGCCTCAGGCATTGCCGACATCCATAAGCGACGGTAACTACCCACGATCAGGCTGTTTGTACGTCTGCCTACAAGGACAATAAAAAAAAAAACTGCTTACCAATTAGTATTTTTTTAAATCACACCTAGATCCAAATTCACTTTAGAAAACCCAGTTACTGTAAATATTAGCTACGATAATAATGATATGCTCTGCTAACTTAAAATATGTTTAACTTTTGTTAAGATTACATTAATTTGTCAGTAAACATCTGCTAAAGGGCCATCCAAATAAAAATGTAGGCAAAAATGATGTTACGATATTTCCTCAACACACAATAAGGTAGGAAGAAATAAATTGTACGAACCAATGAACATGCTAGTATCATTAGCGCGGCTGTCATTTCTGTGTATATAGAATTCAGGTAATGTGTAGGTATGTTTTGTTAGAAATATTAATTTGATCATATTTTCATCTAATGGACAAATATTTCTCTGGAATTGCTCGTGGTCAATACCACATGAGAACTTTATATTTTACACTTTAGTTTTAAACTTTAGTCATCTTTTTTTTTGTTTATTTGCTCATATTCTACGTATTGTATATGTCATAGTTCCGGCATCATTTCCTCGATGGTGTTAAAACTTTACTTTTTTTTAATATTGATGTCACCAGTATGCATGCTGTAGAAGAAGCGCAATTCATTTTGAGAAAATTTTCTTTCTGATAATATTGCGTGAAAGTTACATTGAAGCAGGATCTGTAATATTGATGTTCCGAAAATACGGAATAAAATAGTTGCCTTTTTGCTGTCGCATCGGACAAAATTCGTGATGGTTGCATCACCCTATCCGCGGACGGGTTCACTATCACCCCTTTACCTCTTCATGAGTTCTGTCTCATGCGAGGTTTGGACGTTGGTTGTTGAGCGACAGGAGGTTTTAGTCAGTTTGACTCTGACATGCCCCGCCCTGGATCCCCAGTGGAGGGCGGAAGTCCGGCGATTTCCTCCTGACCGCGGACGGGAGAAGACAAACGATTTTTGAAACGAGTGACTAGAATGTGGAATGAAAGCCCACCGACTAAGAAAGTTCCACTACTGTGGCTATAGGATAGGGCCATTCTATCCGAATTCGCATAAAATGATATCTCGATTAAAATTTCTCTCATTATACAGTCAACAATGAATGAATCAATCTGTGTTCTAATTAAACAAAAGGTTGTTTTTGTTGTGAATACATTAAAACAAAGGAATAAAGTTATTAATTTAGATTTTAATTTGATTTGTTTGTTGTGTGAAATAGCATTTGTAACCTTACTTGGAAATATATTTAATGCCCTCGTAGATATACGCCAACTATTATATGAAATTATATTAAATCATAACAGACATAGCGTTCATTCATATCTAATTCTTGTATATTATCAGGCACTAACAAATGTTAGTGCCAATAACGATATAACTTTCAAATGGGTCGTAGTTCACAACGTGAATGAATCAAACATTTAGGCATTAATTCCTGAAGCAATTGTTCTCCTACCTTATAGCTGCTCGATTAAGCAGTATACTAAATCGCAGCAGCACTGAGGGTAGGTACCACCACTCCACTTATTTCTGCCGTGAAGCAGTAATGCGTTTCAGTTTGAAGGGTGGGGCAGCCGTTGTACTGTTAAAACTGAGACCTTACAACTCATGTCTAGAGGTGGGTGGCGGTATTTACGTTGTATAGTCTGTGGCAAGTTCTGTCTGTTCTGTTCTGTTGAGCGATAGAGATTTTACGCCGCTTTAACTCCTATATATATATAGAGAGAAAATTTGTATGCTCTGCCTATCGCCACCAACATTTAGCTGGCGACTTCCTACAGACCCAAAAAGAAGCATTGAGCACGATCCCTTATAAGGGATCTATAGATTATCAAACTATGCCAATGGCGGTCCCAAGCCCGGATGAGAAAAGAGGAGGGTTGATTTGGAGTTCGACCTTTCCACTGTAAAACAGTCAACGAATGTCTGGCGGCGGTTAATTAGCCGGACCCAAATAAGGCTTCATAAACCAAAATCACCACCGTGGAAGGACGCGGGACGCCCCACCATGTGTATTTTCCCGAGAAAGCCTCATGAGGCCACGACCGTCAGCATTGAGGATTATCGATGCAAGGAGGGAGATTACCAGTATGGAATCAACACTTTTAATTCAGGTTGAACAATATTCTAGCACTCAAATTTTGTCGTACCGTGTTACCTTGTTGCCCTCAAGGCGGAGCGTTGTAGCACTGGGCGGGAGTGACGCAGGTGCTGCGGTGAGCTGCTTATCGGAACAGTCCACTGTAATTAACGGTATGATAGCTCCGCGAGGGTCAGACACCACGTGCGTCATGATGCACGTGCATGGATCTGGACAGGTCTCCCGCATCGTCTAAAACATTAATATCAAATTAAGGCTAAGTTTGCCTAATTATAGGAGTTATCTGATAGAATATCTCATAAGAATATGAAAACTAAATATTCAGTGCTTTTAAAATTGACCAACGTTCTGTTATCAAATTGAACCTTCACTAATTTGGTGACATACAAAGAGAGGTAGGAATGTATACTTAGTTAAGTCCGAAATTATTTTACGTCCGAAAATATTTTTTTTTATGAATATTGATACTCAACATGAATTCCACGGTTACATCTTCTAATAGAGACCGCAAAATTTATAAATTCGCAAGTAGTCTTTTTTTTCGTTTTTTTCCTACCTACGCTGATAGCCTTGACAGGCTATTTCAGCTTCTTCTTGACGTGTAGGTGAGCTCACAGGGCTCAAACCGGGTGTGTTGCTAACACTGGCCCTAGCAAGAGCAGTGCTTCGCAGAATCTACCACCAGATCGGAAACGCGACCCACAGAAGATCCGGCGAGAAACTCAGTGGGCTGTGTCTATGGGTTAATTCACTCGACGAGGACGGTGACCGGCTAATAATCAAGATAGATCATAATTGTAAGGTCGCAGGGATAGTTTCAACTAACTCTACCTATTTCTGCCGTGAAACATTCATGTGTTTGAATTCAAAGCAACCGTGAAACAGCTGCTATAAACAAATATAAATTGAGACTATATGTTGTAGTTTTCGCAATATACAAGAAATGTTCATTAAGTACCTACACAAAATGTGAAAGAAGATTAATTACTTGAAACCAACCACTTTATTGAGGACATTAAAAGCTTTAAGTAAAGCTTTTCCCTAAAACAATTCTACTTAAGAAAACTCTTAAACATTTAAGGATTTTCCTAAATGGAAAATTTAAAAAATACTCTGTAAAATCTTATTATTTCATTGGGTATATTTTACTAGCTCGTTATTAAAGCAAATTTAGCTTTGTTGATTTATAGACCTTACAAGTGCAAAGCAGATGTCAGCAAAGGTTCTCACCACCAGCCTCAACTTCGTACCGAAATGGTAAACACTGCTTCAATATTTAAGTATATTATTACAATATCATCATGACTCAACTTACTACTGTATAATATGTAGGCTTTTTGTGTTTTACATACATTTTATTATTTACATTGGAAAAAGGCAAGTTTTTTGTCGATTCTTCTCAGTAAGAAAATTGAATTCCGAATTTGTAATAAAGACACGGCTATCTGAATGCTATAATAAAAACCGGTTAAATATAAATTACGGTTTTTTTACATCATGTTTTACTACTAAAATGTACACATATCGACTTGACCATAACGATGAACAAAAATCAAAAATTTTGCGTGTCTAAAAACTCAATATGTTGCACAAGAAAATTACAACGCATTATTGGATTACAGAAAAAAATATCGGCACCCCCAGAGATTTCACAAAACAAAATTCACGTTAAAATTTTTAAAAGCAAATAGGGAAAAACAAAGTTGGACAAACGCAAATTAATTACCGTAAATAACAAAGTTATAAAAATTTTTGAAACAATGTACATTTTGATTAAAATCAAAAGTAAAGTAAGTCTTCTTTTAAAGGAAATTTCTTATTTAATTAGATAAATAGACTACTTTAAACAAAACTTAAGTACGAAAAATAATATAAAAAGTTTTTTTTTTTGTTGCTTAGATGGGTGGACGAGCTCACACCCCCCTGGTGTTAATTGGTTACTGGAGCCCGTAGACATCTACAACGTAAATGCGCCATCCACCTTGAGATATAAGTTCTAAGGTCTCAGGTAGAGTTACAACGGCTGCCCCACGCTTCAAATGCTTCAGAAAGAGGCAGGGTGGTGGTACCTATCCGTGCGGACTCACAAGAGGCCCTACCACCAGTGGAAAAAAAAGAAATTAATGCGGTACAGTTTAAATAAAGGTCTAGTAGTAATATCACTTTATTAGTAAAGATGAGCAACCGATTTTTTTTAGGAAAGATAGATAACTTGTGGCCCGAATACCTTTCTAGTTTCATCAGGGCGAGCTGGTGATACCTAGCTTGATAGATAGCTGGTAGGCAGCAGGGGTGGAATTTGCTAACATATGCCCGAACGCCTCCGTAGGAGACTTAAAAGCTCAAGACCAGCTACTTCGCGAATGCATCTACTACGAGATCAGAATGGCGACCTGCTGAGAACTTCCAGCGAGAAAATCAACGGGCTTATTTCAAATCGAGTTCGACGAGTACGTTTCCGGGTCCCTATGCCTGCTCCTGATAGAGTTGCAAGTGTCTAATATTTATTTAGTGGATCGGGTGGATCCGTAAGGACGTGTCTAGGGCGTCGACGGTGGCTAGCTCCTGAATGAGCCGGATTCGGGGAGTAGTAGTCAGCGGTGGCCTCGATAAAGCGGCTTTCAGGACGCATCGTCTTATCGAAGTAGCTTTCCTACGCTGACTTCAGGTAGCCGAACTCAAAGCCTGCCTAATGTTAAGCGAATATATCTGATACTTTAATGCAAATGCTGTAATCCGAAATAAAGCGTTAGTATCCACCCTTTTAACCACAATCTTTGAACATTATTTATCAAACCAGATCGATGGTACCATATTATATTCTTCACGTACATATATGTACATATAATATGTTTCGTTATGATAAAATTAATAATTACTGTTTGAAGTGAGTGAAAAATTTCATAAAAATATTCCAGAACAATCCATAAATGTCAAAAATGCCACGCTAGTACAATATATTTTTACACGATTCCAAATAAAACGTTGACACATCGAATCAAAAGTAATATTGCTGATTACTGCACTTATCTACTTACACCATCTGATCCACTTATTGTGCTTGCATACAAACGTCACCATGCGTAATGTCAGCACAATATTTCTGCCACACCAGCACAATCGATTGCGACATTATTTAATTTTTCTACGAAATTTGATCGTAACATATTTATTTAAACTAGAGATCCCGTAGTAGTCGAAATTCGACTATAATTAATTGGAATTGTAAGTTTGTACACTATTATGATTGTATTTTATACTTCTATAATCACAAATTTCGCCAAGGGTACACATAAAAAATATTAATAAAGACTAAACAATATTTAATCTATTCTCAATTTGACCACAGACGTAAAGAACAAAAGTTTGACAATAAATGGTATGCATGCGTGTGTGCGTCAAATACATGGTATGTAGTGTGTGTAATGTTTTCTTTATTGATTTAATGTATCTTTTATGCATTATTCTTCTCTATATTCTCTATAAGTGTGGAAAATGTCATACTCCTCCGTCCGCGCAATTTTCGTAAAAAGGGATACAAACTTTTTGCTTCACTTATTAATATATAGATAGACAGAGACAAAACAGTTATGTTATATTTTCTCCTCTGCTTGTCAATAGATTTTCTTTCATGATTTAGTTTTGAAAAGCTTTATCTGTTAATCAATAAAAAAAGTAGATGTAGACAGTTTTTCTTCTGCAAAAAAGGCAAATGGTAGAGGTATCAAAATACATAACATACATCCATTTTTTACTAGTGGTAAGGACCTCTTGTGAGTCCGCGCGGGTAGGTACCACCACCGTGCCTATTTCTGACGTGAAGCAGTAATACGTTTCGGTTTGAAGGGTAGGGCAGCCGTTGTAACTATAGGTACTTGAAGTAGATGTCTATGAGCTCCAGTAATCACTTAAAACCAGGTGGGCTGTGAGCTCGTCCACCCATCTAAGCAATAAAAAAAAAGATAAATAAATTCACTTAAAGATAGAGGTCTCAGTTATTATGTTCGAATTTCGATTCATTATATTCGATATTAATAATACCGACTCTATATTGTAATTTAAGTTCAAATATAACCTTAAATTGGTGCGCATGATTGTTTTGCGCTAGAAAAAGATATTACCGTGGTACTAACTCTAATTAAAACACTACTGCTATAAACGAATGATATAAACTATTGAACAGCCATGTAAAAGTAAAGTATGAAACTAGAAAACCCCTGGGCCAATAACGTATTTTTGACAAAACGCATAAAACGCATCAAAACTCATTAATAAGCAGCATTTGAAATGCGTACTGTAATCAGAAACTACAAATATAGAAAGAAGCGAAACTTATTAACAAACAACAAATACAAGACGGGTCTTTAAACATTTGAACTTACATAATCCATCAGTGAGGACCAGCTATCAAAAGCAGGATCGGGATTATCTAAATATTTGAGGAAAATTCATTGAGAGCACTCCTATCCTATCAAGTGAGCATACACGGAAATCTGAGGGTAAATTCCTTCAAACAAGAAAATTAGTAGAAACTATCAGGCTTGAATATCAGCCTCAAGTCATTGAACAGATATTAAAACCGAAGTCTGAAATAATCTGTTAAAGGGGCATCAATACATTTCAACATGATTGCTTTTGGCTACATTAAACTTCCGTGCGAACTGGCTACGCGTGATCGATAGGGTAACATGGAGCTAGTTTGATGATTAACCCAAAAAGTGGACAACAAAACACATCAAACCTAATCTAACTTATGATCATTGGATTCGTCGGAATGAAGGCTGGATTTTTGATATTTAGGAAATCGCGAAGAGTGCGTTTACCCTGTTTCTTTACTAAGCATTTTAAATGGGGGAATAGTATAATAACAGAACACTCGAAAGAAAATTAATTGTTTGGTAACATTAATTAATATGTAGTATCGATTCACCCGAACGATTTTTGTTAATTTCAAAGTAATAAATGTTTCTCAAACTATTAAGTTAGTGATAAGAAAAAATATTATACTTTACTAAAGTCCGTTTTAATTATAAACCTTATTTCATACATTTTTTTTGAAAGCTATCGCCTCTCAAGCTTGAAATTTAATCAATATCTGACTATTCCTTTAAGAGTTATCCTTAATCATGCACATTTGTCCTTCGTAAAAGCAGCGCTACAGGCACGACACGATGACCCACGGGTCGAGATTCCGATCCGGTAGATTCATTCGCGAAGCAGCTACTCTTGAGTTGTTAGGTCTCCCTTGGAGACGCTCGGGTAGGATGTAGCAAATCCCACCCCTCCTATCTGAGCCCTTGCTCGCCCACCTGTCCTTGTGAAACTGGAAAAGCCTCCGGGCCACCAGTAATCTCTCATTAATAAATAAAAAAATGATGACGCACTTATTATAGCCGCCTCTAACTACATATATACCCGAACCAGCGACGGGGCAACGCAAACCCGCCGTCGCCCATAACATGTCATATCCGATATACGATCGCCCGGATCCTCTCTCAGTGCTTTTAGGATCTGTTCACCGTTCTCGTCGAATACAACGAGGAGTTAGTTCTACGTACAACATAACCCATAGACACAATCCACTGAGTTTCTCATCGGATCTCCTTAGTGACTCGAGATTCCGATCCGGTAATTCAGTGAAGCACTGCTCTTGCTACGGCTAGTGTTAGCAAATTCTCTCAGACTTAGCCCGTAGCCGGTAGCTCACGTACCCGTCCGCGTGATGGAATAGAATTAAACCCGATTTTTCCACCGATACCGCAACCAGAACTTTCGCTAAAAGTGTGAAGTGCTCTTCTCCCGTTAGCCAATGAGAAACTATTAAGGAACCCTCCTGTTGGAGAGGACGAGAACTTGAAGAACATCGGGTGAGTTGTTTTTTGTTGTTTTTTTTGTAAAGACATAAAATATTTTAAATATGTGAAACGTTAGTAAGATTGGTCCTAACGCAAAACAATTAGACCTAATGAAGTACAACGATAACAGAAGATTTTGTTACTTAATGAATACCCACATAATTCTCAGAACTTGCCGACGAGATTAGGTTTATTTCATTAATTAGCCCATATCGTAAGGCGCAAACAAATTATTTAACATCCAATCTGGTGTAGTGTGTGGTTATCGCTAACCAAACAAGACTTTTTTCGTCGAAGACGGTTTTCTTGTATGTTAAAATTTTCACCATTTAAGTTTTTTTTTTATTACCGGGATGGTCTGATAAGCTCATGGACCACCTGGTGTTAAGTGGTTTCCGGAGCCCTTGGACACCAACAACGTAAATGCCGAAGACATGAGTTCTAGGTCTGAGTTTGTACAGTACACCGGCTACCCCACCCTTCAAATCGAAACGCATTACTGATTTATGGCAGAAATAGGCAGGGTGATGGTACCTCAGAATTTACACATACAGATAGACGTCCACCCAAATGTTTAAGATCAAATGAATTAAAACTCTGAACCTATAATTTACACACTTTTCACGAAAAAACTTATCCGTAAAATCCATTTTTCATTTATACATTTTCCATCCATTCAAAATACACTGAAATCCACAGATTGTATAATACATAGGTAGAAACAGATATTGAGACTATTTACAAATGTTAGTTATCTTCAATAATTTGTTTGCGCATTACGTTATGGCCGAATTAATCTTAAGAATGTTTCTAAGCGATTATGGAAATAAAAGTAATCTCGTCGGCAAGGTATGAGAAGTATGTGCGAAATTCATTAAGCAACAAAATCTCCTGTTATCGTTGTACTTCATTATGTTTAATTTTGTCGCGGTAGGACCAATCTTACTTACATATATTCGACATATTTAACACGTTCTCTGCCAACGCGGTCAGTGCTGACCGTCAGCGAATTTTCCCTTTAGGCCTATTAAAAATCATATTAAAAATCACTGACCGACACGGTCCGGACAGGTAACTGCGTTTTTTCTCTCGGCATAGAACGTGTTAAAACATTTTATTGGCCTTTACAAAAAAACAACTTTCTACAATACCAACTACTCGTAGTATGTTTGGAAATGTAATATTTCACTATGAACCATTATTAACCATTACCAAACATTTAAAATGAATTACTATAATGGTACCTACCCGTGTCGACTTGTAATAATAATAATAATAATAATAATAATCGGGGACAAGTCATGGTCATCTGGCCCCAAAATAGGATTCCCTGTACTATGGGAACCAGAGACTAATGTGCATACTTATATATTTATATAGATATAGATATTAAATACTCAGACAATGAGCGAATGAACCTGCTCGTTACATGAATGTTTGCCCGTTATGGGAATGGAGCTCACGGCCCTCCCAATATTGCACTAAATACTGTTATTGCTGCTGGTATTTTTATAAATTTTGCGCCTTTTTTACAACACGATTTTTTCAAACTACAAAAAAAAAATTGAAACATAATACAAAAAAATATGGTAAACAACGTTTTACTACCAGCATAAAGTATTAGCAGTGCTAATACTGCTAATAATCCTATATATATATCCCTAATAAAGCTATAACTTTTATCCAGCCCTTTATGACATTATACTTAAGTTTTTCAATGAACTGAACGCTCATTAATAACTTACCTTAATAATATCCATGACTTTGTGCAACGGTTTCCCCCGATACAGTTTTTGGTAGCACACAAGATCGTAATAGTCCGTGATACGGCTCTTAGTAGTACCATTTGGCTCCTCCATTGCGAGCCAGTCCAAACCACCGTCACTACAATCCCACTTGTTTCCTAAAATGAAAATCTAATTGAACTGTTGGAATAAATATTAATACAAATCAAATACCTCGCATATAGTAATGCTATCGGCATATTTTAGTTATTTCCTATTGGTTAAATTTTAAGACAATAATTAATGAATTAACAATTCATTTTCGTAATTGAAAATCTAAATTTAAGTAATTCTTAATAATAATAAAATACCAAAACAAACCAAACCAAGTAACCAAAAACGAATGAAGTACAATAAACATTACAAGAAAAAACAGAAGTCCGCTGTGTGACTCTCTCCAATGATTATACAACTGTAGATATAGTTCAAGGAGGGTTGACATATGGCAGGCGTCCGGTCGCAAAACTAATGCCAAATTCCTGAGCAACAAGATAAAAGGACAGACTGTGACTACCACACGTTGCCCTAAATACGTCATTACGGATCCTCCCGATCCATTAACGGTGCTTTTAGGTACCTCAAGCACCGGTCACCGTCTTCGTCGAACACGTCGCTTGCGACGAAGGGCTCGACGAGTGAATTAACCCATAGATACAGCCCACTGAGTTTCTCGCTGGATCTTCTCAGTGGGTGGCGTTTCCGATCCGGTGGTAGAATTTGCGAAGCACTGCTCTTGCTAGGGACAGTATCAGCAACACTCCCGGTTTGAGCCCCGTGAGCTCACCTACACGTCAAGTGAAGCTGAAATAGCCTCTCAAGGCTATCAGCATTGGTAGAAAAAAAAAAATCACGTAATGTGGCACGAAGAGAAAGAATGAATGAATAAATGAATAATTCCTACGTCACACTTGTGATTCTTTGTAACTGGGACATGTAAATTATGAGAATCAATTAATTACTGTGTGTAAGTATGATTGTATATTGGTATTAAAAACTTATAGTGATTTCATATCTTAAGTAAACTAAATTATATTATACGGAATTAAGTATATTTACTGTAGAATAAAAATATATTTCCTCTTCAATAACGTGCGTAATGGTTTAGTCTATCTTGATAGAGCACTCTAGATATAGTTAATAGTACACCACAACATTGCTGTTGTATCTTTTTCAGATTTTCTGTAGATAAAATAGTTGTCTCGAAGAGATCGATTTTAGGGATAAGACCCACCCTGTTGACTATTTTTGGTGTTAATTATGTTTTGGTGTCTAATAAAATATATTCTCTCTCTCTAATTACTTTGGATCGCTCGACTATAAAACTACTGTGACCTATATGGATCTACTGTGACCACTACAAAGCAATATTTTTGTCGAAGTTTAAATCCAGAATAAACTATATGGGTTTACTGTGACGGATATTCTTGACATCCTCGAAGTAAAGGTATCTTTTTTCCCATCTACGCTGATAGCCTTGAGAGGCTATTTCACCTTCACCTTGACGTGTAGGTGAGCTCGCGGGGCTCAAACCGGAAGTGTTGCTAACACTGACCCTAGCAAGAGCAGTGCTTCGCAGAATCTACCACGGGATCATAAACGGGGTCCACTGAGAAAATCCGGCGAGAAACTCAGTGGGTTGTGTCTATGGGTTAACTTACTCGTCGAGACCTTCGTCGCAAGCGACGGGTTCGACAAGGTCGGTGACAGGAAGGTCTCAATAATAAGGTATCATTATATGCAGGACCACCATATATGTATGTCATAAAATATCCATATATCCAATGAAATAATCCAGAAAACTGCACATACACAGTAAATAGGTTGAAAATTTTCCTCGAATTCCATTTTTAAAATAGATGCCGTTCACATTCTAATGACGCACATCTGTTTAAAATTGAATAGGTATCGACATTCGCAAAATCTAGAAATTGACTATTAACAGTATTTTTACGAAGCATTAATTTCACTTTGATCGTGGTTAACGTTGCGTTCGTGTAAACGCCGTTTCCGATTTACATTCGTTTTGTTTAGTGCTTCATAAAGTTACGTCAAAGGAAAAACACTGTTTCGGGGACGAGGTTTTATCACAAGTAAAAGGCTTTTATTACGGCTTTCGAATTGCGTCCCTTTTTATTGTAGGTATTATTGTTTTTGAAAGAAAATTTGTACGTCAGATATTATTTTTCAAATATTTGGTTTCGCGATAGCTTCGCGATTGTTTTGGAATTTTCGATTTTAAATCTTAATCTCTAATAGTAGCTATCGTGGAATTATATTAAAACAAAAACCATAAGCGTACTGACCAAATTTTCAAGAAAATCTTGCATTTATACAAGTTCTAAACAATAATATTCAGACCGTCGATTTACCGAGCAATAACATTCTGTCGATGAAAGATCTTTTCTTTTGTTTCGTAAAGCCCTTACAAACACAAACTTGTAAAACGATACTCAAATGAGTAGTACAAAACCACCGGTAATCAGGTTCACTAATGATCACATGAACGAGGCGATCGAATTCAATAAATGACGTAACATTTAGGAACAATATCGTTGACTCCCGATGTAACAATGTAAACAAGTAGTTTTTTGCAGTAAGCTTACCTGCAGATGGTATGAGCAAAAATATCCAAAAAAACTAACATCTAAGTGTTTTTTTTATTGATGACAGCCCACCTGGTGTTAAGTGGTTACTGAAGCCCATAGACATATACAACGTAAATGCGCCACCCACCTTGAGATATAAGTTCTAAGGTCTCAGTATAGTTACAACGGCTGCCCCACCCTTCAAACCGAAACGTATTACTGCTGCACGGCAGAAATCGGCAGGGCGGTGGTACCTACCCGTGCGGACTCACAAGAGGTCCTACCACCAGTAAAAAATGTATGTGTGTATGTACGTTTACAAAAATCAGGGGTAGTGTTGTGTACAGCGGCAATTAAAGAAAAAGGTAAACAATTTACATGCGCTTCCTAGACAGACAATTAGACAATTAACAGAACAAAAATGCCTTCATTTTTGATACAGAAACAAATATTACTTCTTAAGAATTTAAATCTACATCACCCAACATACTTGGGTCAGCAACAGTTTCTAATAATAGAATAATTAGTCCTGGAACCGAAACTTTATCTTAATTACTTTTTACAGTTATCTTAAGTACATTTTATTTATCATTTCTTAAATGGATAGATAAGTAGGTATTGGATGGAAAAAGTAGGGATTACTTAGTTAACAATTTATCAAAAGCTCATCTTAATTATCTCTACCTTGGTGGATAACATGTAGATTAAGCCGAGTCAAAATTCAGATGATTTAAAGATCTCATCTCACAGTTCACTTTTTATTAAGTTACTGTTACTGGTACATTTAGTTACAGGAGCGTATAAACATCACAACATGAATGCCGGCCCCGCCCTAATAAATGCCAAAAGAGCTTTGTATCACTAAATCTCAGTACCGCTTGATCGATTAGATTCTTCATTTCTCTGAACATTTCGAACTGATAAATAATCTCCCGAAACCACAGGCACCCGAAAATTATAGTCAACAATGAGGAATTAAAGACGATTGTAATTTTCACCTCAAAGAAATTAAAGTTTACTATACTCAAGCTACGACTGAGCTAGAACCAGCTTTATACTTAAGCATGAAAACAAAATTAATCCATTTGAGTCACAACCCTGAGTAATAAGGAAAGCGGCACAAGAAGAGAGAGTTTAATTAACATAGTAATAAACCTTAACAAATGGGCGATACGCGAACAAAATCATACTTAGTGTGACATACCAATTAAAGTATGACTTACTATGAAAAGTGGATTATTTTTTTCACAGTTGTAAATATTCGTAATTTAGTCTAGATTTTGATTCAGCACCTAACAAATGTTCCAAACCAGAACGTATGTCGTTACGCCTATAAACATAATGGTCACTGTTTGGGGGTCTTATGCCAGTATGATTTATCATGGATTCATTAGTCTGGTTCTAACAAAGCGTATTGTATATTGTGTGTGTATACTCCAGAACTAAATAATAATAACTCACAACCCCCTGATCAATTTGTGGCTTAGCAGACTTCTTGAAAGGCAGAAATGCATCGATAGCATGCCTGAATACTTTATATAAACACAATTATTGAAAAATATATACAATGATATCGACTCCGGTTTTTGTAAATAATATTATCTCGCTACGTTAATCGGCAAAAAAAACTGCTGTCGAAATAAATTCCTTATGATGAAGATTAACACAAAAAGCTTCAGATTTATACAACTTCCATGATATTTATTCGACCGTGAATAATGCTGTTTCTACCTGTGGGAAATAGCATGTGATAATGATCCAACATATAACTAACTTTATCCTTGTTTTTCTCTATCTCTTCGTTAATCTAATAATTAGATGTTTTATTATATTACTAGCTGTACCCGTCCGCTTCGCTGGGCATTTAAAATTAACATTATTGTTTCTCACCCCCACAAAGATTCTCATCATTAACGCCCCCGCAACTGGTGTAGGGAGTCCAACACTCATATAAATATTAGCCTATCCATTAAGTACATGTATTTTCTACATGGATACCAAGTTTCAAGTCAATCGGATGCATGGTTCAGTAGTTATAACGGATCATCCGTAAAAACCACTGTAGATTTATATATTAGTATAGATTTGATCCAATCTTATTGAACATTTAAAATTATTTACGCGGGCAGCATACTGGTCGTAATCCCGGGGAGAGACTACCGAAAGTCTGCACGTCTGGCTTACACAGGTGTGACATTCGTCGTCGGGAGGATCCGAAGGCTGGGAGCTCGACGTGAAACCGGAGAAAACCCAGGTTGTTTCACGGGCCTCGGCAAGTGCCGCCGCCGGGCACCGACTTTGTGATAGGAGGCGTCCGCCTCGTGATCGGGGTTACCGATCTGGGAACGTGTTCTTAAAAATCGATAAAATTGAAGTCCGCGCAGTAATAAAATATCTCTGGTTGAAAATTTTTACTACGGAGCTGGTAAATCAAGACTTGAAAACAACATTAGGGGTTCATTCTCCTGAATATTATACGCAATCGCGTTGGTCAGTTCAAGCCAGAAAGAACTTTCATTAACAACGAGCCCCACACGGGACGCACTACTTTCGTAGTGACAGACAAACGATTAAAAAAGTTGGAAACATTGCCTTGGTGGATGTGGGTATGAGAAAAGTGTCAGCGCGCTGGATTTCCAGAATGCTTTCTAACGCGCAGCTACAAAGGAGATCAAGAATTTTACAAAGCTGTTTGAGTTTATTACACAAGATTACAAGGTTTATTACACACCCATTTTATGGCTCGAATCATAACTATAGACAAAATATGGCTTCATCATTATAACCCTGAAACAAAAAAACACAGTCCATAACTTGAAAGAGAGCGTCATCTCCAATTTGCATATAATAAATGGCGTTTCCATCCGTTACTGTTCCATCATTCCAATGGGCTGTTTTTCTGGAACAGCCAAAGGGTGGTGATGATCGAATACTTTAATCATGGAGCCACTATTATGGGGACTATGTAAGTACGCAGGACAGATAACAAAGTTGCTTGAGGAAATACGCAAGCAACGGCGTTTCAAATTCGCTAAAGTTATTTTGTTTCGCAAAGATAACGCGCCCGCGCACAAGTTTTTTTTTATTTTTTTTTTTTTATTGCCTAGGTGTGTGGACGAACTCACAGCCCACCTGGTATTAAGTGGTTACTAGAACCCATAGACATCTACAATGTAAATGCGCCACACACCTAAAGTCAGAGTTCAGAGTTACCATAGCTGACATTCTAGGAGCTGGCTTCGAATTGATAAAACATCCTCCATTTTAAAGTCGATGTAGGCTAAAGGTTAAGATGCCTGGTACAGTCGTATCGAGCGATGAAATGGTGTTCGAATCCCGCAGGCAAGTACCAACTTTTCTAATACGTACTAACAAAAGTTGACAATTGATTTTCACAGCGAAGAAATAGCAACGTGTATTAAAAATCAAACCCGCAAAATTATAATTTGCATAATTACTGGTGGTAAGACGTCTTGTGAGTCCGCATGAGTAGGTAGGTTCTATGAATATTCATTCACACATATGATAATTTATTATCTACCAGCCAATAAAAGCCCCGTTACAGAATTGGTTCGGCCGTACCCCATGTTTTACTTATTAGAGTAGGTATTTGTAAATACTTTTTATTTTTAGAGCATAAACTGACTTTTTCAATGACCTTTTAAGTTGACATTTAGTCAGTTGTAAATTGAAAAATAAAAATGTGCGAAATGATCATTAACAAGTTTACTTAGTAATTTATTTTTGATCTGAAATGAACAATTGGAAATAGCTTTGATATAACGAAAAGTTGGGCAAACATCTCAAAGGTTCAAATGATGGGGAACAAAATTGAGATCTGCTATGACCCTATTTTAGAACGTTTAGCACTTCTCAATAAATAAATACAACTTCTGTTAACTTGTTCTTGTTCGCAATTGAGTTTTGAATGATATCACTAGGTATTTGAATTTTGCCAAATTAAAACCAAAGGGCAAGTTTTCTTTTAGAACATTTTAATGAAATATCCTACTGTTAAGTAATATACTATATTAGTAATATTTAAAATAACTATAGGTAAAGTAGATAAAAAGGAAGTAACAGAGGTAGAAGTAACTGTAGTCGTCGTGGCCTAAAGGATAAGACGTCCGGTGCATTCGTATCTAGCGATGCACCGGTGTTCGAATCCCGCAGGCGAGTACCAATTTCTCTAATGAAATACGTATTTAACAAATGTTCACGATTGACTTCCACGGTGAAGGAATAACTTCGTGTAATAAAAATCAAACCCGCAAAAATTATAATTTGCGTAATTACTGGTGGTAGGACCTCTTGTGAGTCCGCGCGGATGGGTACAACCACCCTGCCTATTTCTGCCGTGACGCAGTAATGCGTTTCGGTATGAAGGGTGGGGCAGCCGTTGTAACTTACTTGAGACCTTAGAACTTATATCTCAAGGTGGGTGGCGCATTTACGTTGTGGATGTGCTCCAGTAACCACTTAGCACCAGATGGGCTGTGAGATCGTCCACACATCTAAGCAATAAAAAAAAACCTCTTTCTTTAAACTCTTTCAAATTAAAAGCATTCATCTTAATCTTTAATGGCATCGGCTATGATACAAATGACCAGATCACAAAATATAAATGAAAATGGCGAAACTTACCACTTAAACGAACTCGCTCTAGAACCGGTGATCCAATCAATAGTTGTGCTTTCATGTGTCTTAACATGTTACTCCTAAGGTCCATCTCTCGCAAATTTACCATGTGGTTCACCATTTCCGGAGGTATCTCCCAAAGAGATGACAAACCGTGCATCGTTATTTTCTGAGAATAAGAATAAGAATAAGTATGTTAAGAATTGATAAGACTTAAAAAATATTAATCTTTCATATGCGAACGAGTTCACGACTCACTTAGTGGTTACCGGAGTTCATAGATATCAGTGTGATTGCTGCCACCCACCTCGAAAATCGTGTGGTGAAAGCCTAAACTAAATTGAATGACAGGTATCCCACGCACTCAACCCGGAACGCATAAGTGGTTTGCGGCTGAATAGTAATATCTATTCGTGCAGACTTTCCACAGCCCACAAGCAAATAACATTTTCATTTGATTTTTTTTCCTACCTGTGCTGATAGCGTTGAGAGGCTATTTCAGCTTCGCTCTAATATGTAGGGGAGCTCACGGGGCTCAAGCCGGAGTGTTGCTAACACTGGCCCTAACAAGAGCAGTGCTGTCAGAATCTACCACCGAATCGGAAACGCGACCCACTGAGAAGATCCAATGAGAAACTCAGTGGGCTGTGTCTATGGGTTAATTCCCTCATCGAACCCTTTGTCCTAGGCGACGGGTTTGACGAGGACGGTGACCGGTGCTTGTACCTAAAAGTATCGTTAATGGATCGGGAGGATCCGTAATGACGTGGTTTGGGCATTTTATTATATGCGCCTGCATACTAACAATCTTAGATTCAAAATCTACACACCTAGGTACCTACCAGTGGCATTAAAATCGTATAAGTCTTACATCTTCGCATACTTCGTTTGGCCAGCCACATATTTAAAAAAAACACGTTAATTTTGGACCCAAAATAATCGTCAAAATCATGTAGAAGTTTTCTCACTAAACAGGGGTTTTCAACAACTATTCCTGTAGTACGCGGCATAAATATAGGACCGTATAAACTTTGCATTGAAGCAGTAGCCAGACACTGTTTCTAATACATTAATAGAATAGTTTAGTTTTCATTACCATTAATTTAATTACGGCTTAATTGAATTTCCAAAAGGAATTCCCTATTATAGAAAGGCATTTATATTATTATGAAATATATTTGGACGATAAATATAAACGTTAATAATAACTTATACACGTAGGCAGCAGCTTCTTCGAAATACCTAGTGTACGATAGCTCAGTTTTATGATATTTTAAAGATTTAAAGAATTACGGACTTACCGCCAACTGCTCAAAGATTTCACGACTCCTTTTTCAAATGTTGCACAAACTGCGGCAACACGTAGCGCTAGTGTCGCGCTCAGTAGATTGCGCGGGTACCGGGCAAGTTGGCGGGAGATTTCAAAATGTAAACCCCAAAATCGANGATAGCTCAGTTTTATGATATTTTAAAGATTTAAAGAATTACGGACTTACCGCCAACTGCTCAAAGATTTCACGACTCCTTTTTCAAATGTTGCACAAACTGCGGCAACACGTAGCGCTAGTGTCGCGCTCAGTAGATTGCGCGGGTACCGGGCAAGTTGGCGGGAGATTTCAAAATGTAAACCCCAAAATCGAACATTCCCCCCACCGAAATCCGCCCGGATTTCCCATTACGATACCAATAACAATGTTTTGTTGATTCAGTTTCACAGTGGACTGTATTTATATTAAAATTATTTTAAGTATTTAAATCTAAGTATTTAAACAATAAACTTGACTTATAACTAAAAGGGAGATCACACAAAGACCTACCTTTATGTAATCTTATTATGAGCTAATTTTTATATTATAAGACTAACTCTATGTCCGTCGCTATTGGGAGCGGACAAAGCTTAACGACAGGACGCGTCGTTTCGCTATTTTTTATACGAATTTTAACCACTCGCACGACACCATCCACGCCTGGCTTAAATACACTGACTCGGGCTAAATCCCACTGTAAAGGTGGTGGTGCGTGTGATTTAATGAGAACTAAAATTCGACAGTTGTTGAACCACTTTTGTCGCTGTTGAAATGTGTGGAGGTATTCTTGGCCCCCCCATTTCCAAAAAAGTTGTGAAAAGAGTTGTAAAATTTTCCACCGCTCGCGAGGCAAAAAACGATGCTCACTGATATCGAATACCGGTACAGCGAACAATTCCCGCCCGATCACAACATGTGCCGGCGTCAGCACTTGGAACTCCTCTGGATCATCAAATAGTGGACATAGCGGTCTACTATTGAAAACTGCTTCAACCCAAGCAAAAGGCGTTCGGAGCTCTTTGAATGGAAATGATTTGTCTCCTACAATCCGTTTCAAATATAATTTAGCAAATTTTATTGCAGACTCATAGAAACCACCGAAACGATCACCACTAGGAGGGTTATGGCTCCAACGAATATTACGCGCTACAAGTTCTCTTGATAAGCTTTCTAAGTAAGACTCGAAAAAACACGTAACATCTGCTGAATGTTTCGTAGCCGACACAAAATTGGCATTATCTGAAATAATCATGAGACATTGACTTGTTGTAATTCCTTGCAAAGTGCGAGGACCAACATATAAATAAAATTTATGACAATACTCTATTAAAATGTTTGTAAAAATTGAATTTTTGAGTAAATGTAAATAATGTTTCCTATCAGGTGAAAGACTAGAATTAGATAATTTACCCCCCACCCTGAGGAAACAGTTTGAATCCATGAAGGTAATTAGTTTCCGCAAACTCTGAGAGCATCTCTGACCTTTTTGTAAGGCCATAATGTCGTCCACAAATAAATGACTTTGTACGATTTTAATAATAATATCGTGAGCCGTTCTGCTGTCATCCACAAACAGCGATCTACGTTCTAATTGAAAGACTCTATAGTTGTGGATGAACAAATAAGACCGCGCGATTATACTCACAAGCTTACTAAAACTAGAGTATCTGTTAGTGAGGTCCAACAGTGAATATGCTTCTATGACTTCTATTGAGACAAGTACAGTACTTAAAGTTTTTCGTTCTAGGCTTAGAGTTATAGGTTTAACTGGACCCTCTGACTGGAAGTCATTAAGCCAATGGAGGCCGTTAAGCCCCTCATGTATTGTTTTGCATGATGCGTTAAACACGCCTCCCAATTTGTTTGTTGTACTAGAAAGCCACAAAATACAAAAATGCGGGATGATAAATATCGAATCCACGTTCTGTACCGCGCCTACGTGACTCTTGTATCCACAAAGACTTTCGTACTCAGGAATAAATTTTAAATTCGGATGGCGTTCCAACTTCTTTTCTATATTAATATATTTATGTTCTTCTGCTCCATATGAAACACAAAGTTTATAAAAAGGTTGCAAAGGGTAGTTTACGAAACATCTACTTCTCTTATCACGGTTACAATCGCGAATAAACAATGTCCCTGCTAATATATTATCTAGATGTTGTGGTTCGTTGATAAGAATGCTTTCCTTCTCAGAGACAGACTGCGTTTCTTGCTCCAAGTTCACAGAAAGGGCCACAAATGATTTTGTATTATTGCTTTTGATATGATGATTTTCCGTGTCTACAGTTGTATGACCCGAAATCGATACTTGACCTGCGATGACGTAGCCGAAAATGGAATGCAATGCCACCGGCATATTCTTATCTTGTGGCATGATCTTTTCTCCATCATAAATTTGAGGAAATACATCACCGGCCAATAACATGTCGATGGGACCCGATGTACCAAAAGTTGGATCAGCAAGTGAAAGATTTTGAAATTTACGGATNTTGCATAGATCAATCTTTCCACTTTAGTCCACTTCATCAAATCAGCAACATCTTCAAATTCATCAAAAAACTCCAAAATCGGGTAGGTATCATCTCCGGTGAAAGGTGTCATGGACTGCTCCAAATCACGAAACGAGATATGCACCTCAACGTCTTCTCTTTCGTCATTATCATTATTCTTCTTAGGAGACATTTTTTTACTTAGGGATACGGCTTATGCAAAAAAAAAAGTCTCGTTGAACTCGTAAATAGTCGTAGTAGTCGTTAATTATTATTTTCAAAATAAGTCTTTTTCTTAAGTAATCTTCAGTAAATAATCTTCAGTAATCTTCATAATAAGTTTGCATAAAATAACGTTACACAAAACTTCATCAAAAATACTTCATCATAAAATCGTTATTTTTACACATCTCAGTCTTTGGTGCACAACAAAAATGCACTGGTAGCGGTCAACTTATCTCTGTAAAAATTCCTCAATCCACTGTGATTTATCACCGAACGACATCCTGAACGGTATCGTGGATGGTATCCCGGACGAGCCCCCAAAAAGATGTGGGATGGTATGGCGAAATCTAGTGGATATTTAGTTTAACAACAAAATCTTTTATTCTTTCAAAAAAATACTACATACACCTTCGTAACATCGTTCTGTCAATCTTATATCTGTCATTTATATTTTCTTCTTTTAAAATAAAACTAGTGTGCCAGTGTTAATTAACCAAAAAGTATCGATCTTCCCACTTATATATATATATATATATATATAAATTGGAATATTATAGTAATATATATATATATATATATATATATATATATTACTATAATATTTGCTACGACCAGCTAGGACCAGCTTTATACTTTAGCATGAAAACAAAATTAATCCATTTGAGTCACAACCCTGAGTAATAAGGAAAGCGACACAAGGAGAGAGAGTTTAATTAACATAGTAATAAACCTTAACAAATGGGCGATACGCGAACAAAATCATACTTAGTGTGACGTACCAATTAAAGTATGACTTACTATGAAAAGTGGATTATTTTTTTCACAGTTGTAAATATTCGTAATTTAGTCTAGATTTTGATTTAGCACCTAACAAATGTTCCAAACCAGAACGTATGTCGTTACGCCTATAAACATAATGGTCACTGTTTGGGGGTCTTATGCCAGTATGATTTATCATGGATTCATTAGTCTGGTTCTAACAAAGCGTATTGTATGTTGTGTGTGTATACTCCAGAACTAAATAACAATAACTCACAACCCCCTGATCAATTTGTGGCTTAGCAGACTTCTTGAAAGGCAGAAATGCATCGATAGCATGCCTGAATACTTTATATAAGCACAATTATTGAAAAAAATATAGATAC